ATATTTAAATGTAGCTAAAATAAATTGTTTGCAACCACTTACCTTAAAAACATTTTAAATAAATTTTTTCAGTGTACATAAGTCTTTCATATAAAGCCTACATTTAGCCTTTTTTTTATGTAATAACTTTTACTTATGGCAAAATATATATTTTTAGTACACCGGACGCGAGTGGCGCAGCGCGGTGTGACAAAATACAATAGAACCCATTATAATAGTGATGCTGTCTCTACACTGGATGCGGCGCGACATGACAAATCCCGACAGTAAACTGATGCCTCGTTCGTCGTTCTATTTATGACGTACTGACACAAAATACAAATGATTTTCAATGGTCGCTTTGTCGTGTCCAGTGTAGACATGGTGTGTCAGCATAGTTTCAGTACAGTCAGTAACGTAGCAGATTGAAAAGTTAGTATCTTTCTGCAGTCCAATAGACGGCAGTGCAGTGGTGGCTTGAGTCTGTTGAATGGTGATTTAATGCTACGTTGTCACCTAGTTGGAGAGACTCAATGCTCTAAAGTAAATAAACAATGTCCCCGTCTTTTACTCTCACAATGAGCTTATCATGTTCGTTTGCTACATTAGTAGGGCCCTATGATTTCCGCGATGTGGAAAACGCAGATGGAATCACGGAAGTCATAAAAATGGAATTTACTGTATAACGCGGAATTTCATGGAATTTGTCGTATTTTTGACGAATAAATAAAAAAACAGTTCAGTACATATATATATATATAGACTGTGTCTGTGAATATTAAACTGCAAAAAGACGATTTAAATACGAATGTTCTGCATGTTCATTTGATTACCAGAAAATACACAACACAGACCTTGTGAAAAAAAATATTAACTCAGTCAATGCTTGTGTTTATACTGGCCACGCGGCCCAGAACTAATGCTTATCACATCGGTCACATCACATTTCCTAACTGTGTGTCTACACCGGACGCGAGTGGCGCAATGTGGCGAGTGTGACAAAATACAATAGAACCCATTATAATAGTGATGCTGTCTCTACACTGGATGCGGCGCGACATGACAAATCCCGACAGTAAACTGATGCCTCGTTCGTCGTTCTATTTATGACGTACTGACACAAAATACAAATGATTTTCAATGGTCGCTTTGTCGTGTCCAGTGTAGACATGGTGTGTCAGCATAGTTTCAGTACAGTCAGTAACGTAGCAGATTGAAAAGTTAGTATCTTTCTGCAGTCCAATAGACGGCAGTGCGGTGGTGGCTTGAGTCTGTTGAATGGTGATTTAACGCTACGTTGTCACC